TGTACTGCTGGAGCAGCTGCTGCTGTGACCTCCTGACTGAGAACTGAGATCAGACTCTAAGCATACCATCTGCTCTCCTCCAACCCTGATCTGGTGAGCAAAGAGGATGGAGACTCCTGGAAGAGGTCGTATATGCCAGAGGCAAGACGCTGCACAGTGCAGCCCAGCACAGGGGGTCCCCCTCCCCACACCTACCCCTGGGATGTCCACCTGGAAGGAGGGAGAGAATTCCCAGGGCCACTGGAGCTGTATCCATATACTCTCCTCACCATCTAGACCCCCTTAGTACTGCTCACCTAGTATCAGTTTTGAGACCCATCATTTGCTTAAACCACTCTTTGTTTAGTCTTTATCACACAGGCAATACACATCCATGATAAGAAAATTAGCAATACAGAGGAGCAAAAAAATAGAAATTAAAAAAATCTTTAATTCCGTCATCTAAAAAAATATTCTTAGAAGATTTTGGTACATTAACTGATTGTTGTACATTTTAGTGTATAGCTTTTAAGAATGTTCCCTTTGCATTTTTTTTTACATAAATGGGATCATACTATTGATACTGTTTTAGAAGTTATTTTTCATTTAATTATACATTATAAACATGTTTTCTTATTGATAAATATATGAGATCCTAATCAAATGTATACATAAGTTAGTAATATTTTAATTGAGATATGACATAATGTTATAGTAGCCTGCTGCATTCGTACACTCTCCTCATATCTTATCTTTTTAGCAGCTTTTGAGACCCATTCTTTGCTATCCAAGCAGCCCCAACTCCCATTTCATTTCCTTGAACCACTGTTTCTTTTTATCATGCAAGCAATGCACGTTTATGATAGAAAAATTAGAACTGCAGAGGAGCCAAATATTTTGGTATATATCCTTTCAGGTGTTTTTTCCCATGTGCATTTTTTATGCAAATACTAGAGGCCCGATGCACGAAATTTGTGTAGGAGGGTGGTCCCTCAGCCCAGCCTGCACCCTCTTGCAGTTTGGGACCCCTCGTGGGATGTCCAACTGCCAGTTTAGGCCTGATCGGACATCCCTCTCACAATCTGGGACCCCTCGCTCCTAACTGCCCACCTGCTTGCTCTTTACCGCTTGGCTCACCACTCCTTACTGCTTTCCTGGAGGTAGGAGAGGCTCCAGCCACCACTGGTGTGCTCGCCAGCCATGAGCCTAGCTTCTGGCTGAGCAGCGCTCCAGCTGTAGGAGTGACATTGCAGCTTCTCCCACATGCTAACAGTGTTGGCCCCACTCACACCGCTGACAGTGCCAAGCAATTGGGGCCAGCACCAGTGCCCGCTGCAGGTGTGAGTGGGGCCATCACTGGCAGTGGGTGTGAGAGGCAGCTCTGGTGCCAGCAGTGGGTGCCAGTGGGCCCTCACTGGCAGCGAGTGCAAGAGGCAGTGCACCTTGAAAGGAACTGTGGGTCACAAGGCTACAGTGGGCGCACGAGTAGGTCTCGGCTTATCCTCTGCACCCCCACCCAGCCCCTCCTGACATGGCCTCCAGTCCCCTCTCTACCGGCAGCCCTGCTCCCACTGCCACCACTCCCACGCACTGATGGTACCAGCCCTGCTCATACCAGCCCTGCTCATACCCACTGACAGCACAGTGCAAGTGGGGCCAGTGCCATCAGTGGGTGCAAGCAATGGCTCTGGCACCAGCAGCGGTTGTGAGTGGGGCCATCACTGGCAGTGGGTGTGAGAGGCAGCTCTGGTGCCAGCAGTGGGTGCCAGTGGGCCCTCACTGGCAGCGAGTGCAAGAGGCAGCTACTGGCCCTGATCACCCCTCAGGAGCAGGGGAAGGTGGAGAAGTCCTGAGGGGTGATCGGGGATGCCAGCCATTGCTCACACTCGCTGATAGTGCCGAGCAATCGAGGCTCGGGGCAATTGGGGCCAGCAGCCGCCACTCACACATGCTGATGGTGCTGAGCGATCGGGACCAGCACCAGGCACCAGCACCAGGTGCAAGTGGCAGCTCTGGTGCTGACTGTGGGCGTGAGCGGAACTGGCGCCAGCAGCAGGTGCGAGTGCCAGGCAGGACAGCAATGCACAGGGGCAAAGAATTTTCAGTAACCACCAGAGACTCACCCTGATGACAGCAGCAACGGGCACTCCCCCTTGGTCTGGCGCCCCCACTCACCTGCTTCACCATCCCTCTGCAGCCGACACCCACCATGTTCTGTACACGCCCTCTGGTGGTCAGCGCATGTCATAGCGACTAGTTGTTCAGTTGTTCCACTGTTAGGTCTATTTGCATATTAGCCTTTTATTACATAGGACATTTTTAAGTCAATGGCACCATCCTACACATAATGATATATGAAAACCATACACACAAAGTCTTGTTAAATATCATATATACCAATATCATTTGTAATGGCTGCATAGTGTATGCTTGAATGATGGATCATTATATATTTTTAAATGACTTGGGAATTTAGATTATTGCCAAATATTCACCATCACACTAAATGCCGGGATGACGCCCTCTTGTATATTTGGTTCACTTATGTAGTTGTCTCCTTAGGAGATATGGTGATGAGGGGAACTGCTGGGTCAACAGGCTTGCCCTTTCTAAGGTTTTCAAAACATGGAAATTTGTACTCCAAAAAGATGCCCCTATTGATCTGCCCACACACAGTGTGTGAGAGCTGCCCAGGAAAACCCTCCTGAGTGGTCAGCTCCCCATTCTCCAAAGCTGCTCCTGTCTGCAGAGGATTTTCCCAGCTGCTTCTTAATGGGGTTGCTGCTCTGCTTTGCTGTCTAAGAGGGGAGGGGATGGTGAGTCTGAATGGAGACCGTTGGCCTGAGAGTCCCCAATGGCGCCTCTAATTCTGTCATTCTGTATGTGTGTGAGTCCCTCCTTATTTGGGAAGTGTTTTATTTGGTTCTAATTAGCCAATGTGGCCAACAGGTTTGCCAGAAGATTGATGAGTTTCTGAAGGAACCTAAAGACTGAGTAGTAGGAGTTCCCAAGCTGAGGCCCATAGGGAGTGGGGGACTCGCTCAAGGTCTCAGTCAGTCAGCAGCACCAGGAGACCAAGGAACCAAGATTTCAGGAGGCGATTCTGTGTGCCCTGCCCAGTGGGGTCACTTCATGGGTTGCTGGGATGGGACAGTTTGGCATGTGAGAATCACCTATGGTATGTGCTCTGCTCAGTAGAACTGTGACGTGGCTGCCTTGGTGCAGGGGCTGAGCATGCAGGGTGCCCATGCATGATGATGAGGTGCTGTTCCTGGCACACAGCAGGCTCAGGCCTCCTGGGCTGCTCATTTGGTGCAGTTTATGGGAAAGCCAGCTCTTGCTGACATGGCAAATTTGGTTTGCTCTTGGCCCCCTGCCCTACCCATTTTAGTGTACCCCTGACCTCCACGGAAACATGTCCAGGCCTTGCCAGCTGGCAGCAGGGCCCAGCTGCTCAGGCCTGACCCTGGAGGGGCCCAGAGGGTGGCAGACCCCTAAGAGGAAGACTTCTCTGCCTCAGGACTGTGTTGGCAACGCTAGGGCCCCTGCTTCTCATCATGCCCGCTTGCCTGAGCCTTCAACTCCTCACTTGAGATCCAAGAAGCCAGCTATGACAGGTCAGGGCTGTGACTAGATCCATGATGTGGACCTTCCATCTCCCTGCAACACCAGGCCAGTCCCAGCCTGGAGAACTGGTTTCCTCACCCCAGGCCCTCAGGCGACAAACAGCCTTCATGGGCCGGTGAAGGCCTCAGAGGCCACCACAGCCCTTTACTGGCCATAGGAGGGCAACAACTGGCTGAAGTATAAAGAGGAGACAAGAAGTGAGAACAGGGTTAGAAGACAGAGAGAGGAATAGAAAGCAGAGTATAGGACATTTTCTGCTTCCCAGATACAGCAGCAAGCCCTTACTAGATCTCCACCCTTCCCGGGTCACCAAGGGCCACTAGGAGTTGGCATTGGGGCCCAGGACTTTCCTCACTGGAGATGGAGCCAACTCCTGAACCACACAGGGCTGCACTCCCCCAGGCCATGCTTGTGCTGATTGAGGACCACCCACAGTCCCCTCTCCCAGGGAGGGCAGGTTGAGAGTTACTGCCCCTGTTCAACACCCTTTGATCTTGGCTGTGCCAGGTGATGCCCGCCACTTGCAAGACATTAATGCATTCTGTCCTCACAGCAATAAGGAAGGGTATACTTTTTAAAAATTTATAATCTTTTAAAAAATATATATTTTTATTGACTTCAAAGAGGAAGGGAGAGGGAGATAGAGATAGAAACATCAACAGTGATAGAGAATCATTGATTGGCTGCCTTCAGCATGACCCCAACCAGGGTTGGAGCCTGCAACCTGGGCATGTGCCCTGACCAGGAATCAAACTGTGACCTCCTGGTTCATAGGTTCACAACCACTGATCCACACTGGCTGGGCAAGGGTAGACTTTTTAAACTTCCATTTCACAAAGAACACTGAGGCAGACCTGAGAGATTAGCTGACCTACCCAAGGTCTGTCAGGCAGCTAGTAAGTACTGAGACATGGTCCAACTTCAAAACTGCTGCTGTCCACAGCCCCTACCCTTCCCCTAGTTCCTCCTTCTGAGTCCACCAGTGTCGGCCTCCAGAGAGCCTGCCCTCTGTGTGGCACTATGAAGGTTCCCTCGCTGCCACTCTCTCCCCACACATTCTGGGGCCTGGATTCTGGCCATTAGAGCTTTCTAGGAGGGCTTGTAGTGTTCCCTCATCAGCCATCTCTCAAACAGACAGCTCCTGGTTGTCTGTGCCTTGTTCCCCAGGTGAGTGACCCTGGGCAGACATGTGGGTGTTCCACCTGGTGATGGCAGATCCAGGAAGTGTTCATACTTGGGGACTGTAGATACTCCTCAATGTACCTGCCACCCAGGACTCCATGAGTGTTTGCTTCCCAATGCCCAAAAGACAGTCTGGGTGGTCTTGGTGTGCCAGGAGCCACACGGTGACCCGCAAGCCATTATAAATGTATGAAGTGACAGCCATGTGCTTGCCTTTGCCCCAGGAGCCCTATTGAATCAACTGAGAAGTGACTGTCAGAGCAGACACCATGAGCATCTCAGCTCTCGGAAGCAGCACCAAAGGTGAGGTCCAGGCTCCCTCTTGTTCCAGTCCTGGGCATGGTATGTGGCTGCTTTTTCCCAGGCTGGCCCTGCCAGGGCCAGGAGCGCTGCCTGGGTAGCAGAGAGAGACATGTTGGGAGGACTGGAAAAGAAGCCCAGGGTCCTGGGGCTGGGCTCCCCTTCTGAAGCTGTGTAACCTTGCCCATGCCAGGGAAGCCTCTCTCAGCAGGCGAGGAGGAACGCAGTAACGTCCTCAGGCAGATGAAGGTGCGGACCACTCTGAAGGGGGACAAGAGCTGGATAACCAAGCAGGATGAATCAGAGGGCCACACTCTGTAAGTCCAGGAGGTCGGGAGGGCCAACAGCAATGGGTGGGTCTGGGGTTGTGATCCACGAGTCTTGTCCTGACCTGGAGATGTTGAGGGGCTTCCCCCATTCAGAGCTCATCCAGGCAATGTGACCATAGGTCAGCTGGGGAGGTTGGAGCAGGGGGAAGCAATGCAGCTGAGGGAAAGACTCAACCAAAGTCACAGGGCAGGAAAACCCTGGGTACTGAGGTGTACATGTGCGAGTGCCTGTGGAATATGGAGGCAAGCTGCGGGAGGAGAAGGTGAAATGGGAATGGTGGGCCAAGTTCCTGGGGTGCATGTACTGCACTTCCCACAGCTGCCTTGGGGCCCAGCAGTCAGTCTTTAGTAGGGAGGCCATAGGGTGGATAACTGTTCAGGGCCTGGGAGCCACTCTTTTGGGAACTCTCTTTCCCCAGAGAGCTGCCCTCTGGTCGGAGTCGTGCCACATCCTTTTCATCACCTGGGGAGGTCCCGAAGGCCAGGTAAGAAGTGGGACCCAGATGGCTGGTGGGTGGGCCCCATGCTGCAGTACTCAGGAGACAGGGATGGAGCCAGAGCTGAGAAGGGACGTTAGGGTCTGCAGCATGACATTTAAAATCCACAAGAAGGATGGGTTTTCCCTGCTGTGCTCTCCCTTGGGAAAGGGAAAGGAGGAGTCAACTTGGTCCAGTTTCCTGGCCTTGCTGTGTGGCCTTTGGGCCAGCTGCCTCCCCTTCTGGGCCTCCATGGTTCCACCTGTCAACTGTAATCAAAACTTTGTCATTAAGAACCCCCTGCTGGGAGTACGACAGTGTCTGTGAGGTGCTTTAAGTCACACATGACCCCCTCTATAGGTAGTCCTGATTGCTGAGTGCACCTGGTAATTGGCACGCCAGGGGAGACTCACACATTTGCAACAACTGTCTCCCACGTTCAGTCTGACACATTTTGACAGTTGTCCAAGGGGAATAATCCCCTCTCTATTTCAAAGACTTTTGCAAAGAGGTGTCCAGGGAGGTTCTGAGGCGTGAGAACATCTGCTCAGATCTACAGGAACTGCTCCTAACAAGTAAGGGGGTGCAGAGCCAAAAATTCAGGCTTGACCCTTGCTCTAAACAGCCGGCAATTGGCAGTGAGTACATTGCCAGGGCCTTTCTCAAGTGGTCGTAGAGGCAGAGGCAGCAGCTGGAAGGAAGGGGTCCAAATTCTCTGCTAGCCCCAGAGGCTGCCTTTGGTAACAGTGGCCTTGCCTGTCATCCCTCAATGACTTAGTGCCCGCTACTCACCAGGTCCTATGCTGAGCACAGAGGAGACAGCCCTCTCCTAAGGGAACTGACATCCTAGCAGGGACCACAGGTACAACTCAAGTAAAGAGATGAACATACAACGGCGAGGTTGGCAAGGGCCTGTGGACAGTTCAAACATAGTCTATTCATTGGTGGAGCTTGTTTACTTTGGGAGTACAGTTCTCAGCAAGCGCTTTAGTTTGGGGGTGCATTTGGAAAGCACGTCCTGGGGTACTGTGACTCAGGGCCCAGAGCAAGGGAGCCCAGAAGTCTACATAAATATGGGCTCTCATTATTTCCCAGAGGGGTCCAGGGCCAGCAAGGGGCCATGGCCTAGCCTCCTCAGCACACAGGTATTTCAGTCATAAATGCTCATTGTGGTTGGAAGGGGTACAAGTGACCGTTCTTTCTCCGGTCCCACCCTAAGTGATCCTGGAACTTGGTCACCTCCAGGAGGTTGTCCTCAGTCAAGTACAGTGTCTGTTGAGATGGAGAACACTTGGGCTTTGTGCTGCCCTGCCTGCCTGCTTGCACAAAGTCCCTTTAGACCCAACCCTGATGCTCAGCCCCAAGCTCCTCTGTTCATGGACAGAGTCCTTATCTCCTGTCCTCACTGTCAGCCTTTGGCTCCCACCTCCAACCCCCTGAGATCTCTGAGTGCCCTCGGCTGCTCCCAATCAGAAAGTGCCCAGCACATGGAGCCTAATGCTTTCCAGCCACTGACTTAGCCTTCACTATGCCCTCAGGTCCCCAAATTCCATAAATATGTGTGTTGTGGGTGTCCCAGGGGCTGGAGGAGGGGAAGCCCCAGAGGAGGGCAAGGGACTGCCAGCTGGCCTTGGCTGACTCATGCCTGGGCTCTGCCCCTTAAGACCTCATGAACTTTCCTAGAAAAGGCAGGGGGGTGGGGGATATGTGGAGTGGGGAATAGGTCAGGAGCCATGGCTTCTGCCTGCCATGTCCTCAGCACCAGCCTCTGGCCATGGAGTGTCCAGACTGAGCTGGGTCAGCTTCAAAAACAGAGGGTGATTGCCCGACCGGCGGGTTGCAGGCTCAATCCCCAGTGTGTGTGGGGGAGAGGGGCGTGCAGGAGGCAGCCAATCAATGATTCTCTCTCATCATTGATGTTTCTATTTCTCTCTCCCTCTCCCTTCCTCTCTGAAATCAATAAAAATATTTTTTAAAAAGAAAGAAAGAAAGAAAACAGAGGGTGGGAGGGCTGTTAGCAATCCCAGAAAAGCTCTCACTCAGGAGAGAGCTAGGATCTGGTAAGCCAGGGAGAAGCCAGAATTTGAAGGGAACACCTCTGCAGCAAATGCCCAGCCAGGGGCACCTTCCTAGGCACTTCCTGTGAGTCAGGACCATGCTGGGCTGGGCTTGGAACAATCAGACACAGGTACTTTTCCTGGAGAGCATGAGAGATACAGACAGAGCAAAGCAGGAACCAGGTTAGGGGTGCATAGTGGCTGGCTTTCTTGGGAAGCTCCTGGCCACTCCTGCTCCTCTTGTTCTGACTGCACTGGGACACCCACCGCCAAGCCAACTTGCTGTCCTTGGGGACAGGAAAAATTAGGGCCCTCCAGCAAAGCATCAATTCACTTCATGCCTTCTTTTTCCTTGGCAGGTCTGCGAGCACAAGGGCTTCCACTGGCTATATCATCCGGTAGGTGATGGCAGGACCCTGCCTGCCTCCCCACACCCACCTGCACTGCCCCCTGGCTTCTCCCTGGATGCTTAATGGGCTGCTTCTTCTGGGCTTTCTTTTAGGGGCGTGTTCACCAAGCCCATCGACAGCTCGTCCCAGCCCCAGCAGCACTTTCCTAAGGCCAACGGAGCTCCAAAAAGGTGTGTCCATGGGGTGTTGGCCAGCCAGCCAGTGGGGAGTTGTGAGGGCCTGGGCCAGGCTTGTGGCAGAGAGAGTACTCTGCCCGTCACTGAGGGGGTGGGAGGTGGCAGCTCTGTCCTTGTGTAGGGTAAGGCCTTGGAGAACAACATGAGTGACCAGAGGAGATAGGTTGGGGGGTGATGCAGTTGCACCTGAAAGACTGGAAGTCCCCAGGGGGACGCATGGCCCATTTGGGCTCTCTGATATCTGGGAATCCATGGGCCACTAATGATGACCTTGACCTTAAGCCAGTCCTGATTTTCAAGGAGCTTTGACCGAAGTGAGCTGCATGTTTTCAGCTACCTTACCAGCAGGCTGAGATGGCACCTTGCTGTCAGGCTGAACTCAGACTCCATCAGAAAGGCAGGGTCAAGGGAACTGGGTTGCTCTTGGCAGGAGGGCTTCCCTGCTCGGGATGTTGCAGAGATTCTAGGTAAATGGCAGGACTGAGAGCACAGAAGAAAGGCCACCAGCATTCTCTCATTAACTTCCCATGTGCCTGCTGGGTTGTGTGGGCAAATCTGAAGGCAAGAGGGGCTTGGGGTAGGTACATGAAAACTCCTTGCTTCTGCAGCATGGCCAGTCTGGTGAGAGCAGCTCCTGCTGGGTCTCTCCGCCCCTCTTCCTCTGGCTACAAGATGACCACTGAGGACTACAAGAAGCTGTGAGTATACAATCGCAGACCCACCTCAGTTCCCTTCTCCAAGGGATAAGCCCAAGGGATGAGCCCAAACACCAGCCCTCTGAGGGCAGTGGGCTGCTTGCCTCTGAGCACAGTCTCAGGGTGCTAGTCCTGCTGGCCTGACATCCCTGCCAGGTGATGCGTGACCTGGAGCCCACCAGAGGGTGACAAGTCCCAGAAAGTTGGATGCCTGTGCACACTGCACTTCTTATTTGAGGCAAAGCAGGATATGTAGGAAGTTTGTAGAAGGGGGTGGTGGGTCTGGGGAAAGGGTAACATGGCCCTAGGACTGCTTCTGGCTGACTTTGTTTCCTGGACATGCCTCTGTACTCTGGGCTGGGCTTTCAGCCTGGGTTGGGCCAGGCAGTGCCAGGCTGGGCTAGGGCCTGATTATCCTAAGCATGCTGCTGGCCATGGCAGTCTATCAGTTATGGGCATTTTGTGCTTATTTCTGAGCTGCTTTTGGATATAAATCTTTGGGGTTCCCTCTATGGTTGCACCTGTGGACTGTACCAAAGGCCCCCTTCCTGTGTGCCCAGGTTTGGGGGCTCTGGACTGAATTGTAGGTTGTGCCCATGGTTCCCAAACCCTCCCCCCCCGCCCCCCAGTCTTTATATTGTTTGTTCATTGTCATCATAGTCCAGTGACATGGAGCAGCTAGGGTATCTTTCTGGAGAAGGGGTGAGACTTGAACTGGGTCTTAGAAGACAGTTAGGGTTGGAACAGGGAGAGAGAGGAGGGCTGGCTCTCAAGGAGGAAGAGTGGCATGAGAGAAAGCCCAGAGGCAATAATGTCAACATGTGTTGGTGTTGTTGGAAGCCAGGAAGCAAAGCTGCTGAGAGTGGCAGCCTATGACAAGGATCAGGGGTGGAGGAAAGATGAGAGGTGCCATAACTTCTAGTATCCTCAACCCGTCCCACTCCCCATCCCTCAGGGCACCCTACAACATCAGGCGCAGCTCAACCTCGGGGGCTGATGAAGAGGAGGATGTGCCCTTCTCTTCTGATGAGCAGAAACGGAGGTAACAGTACCCGCTGGGCATCCCATGGGCAGGGCTGGGCCCAAGTCTGCACAGACTGGTGAAATAGGAATTATGCCAGTTAGGGTGATGAAATGCACAACACTTAGGACACCATTGCTGGCCTGTGGGCTGAAGGAGTGGCTGCTAGCAACAGGTGTCATCCCTTGAGTCCCAGAATCATCCAAGTAGCTGGGCCGGTTCAGGGGAACCTCTTATGAACATTCTATGGGGCAGGACCTAGGTAACAAGTGATGGGGGAAAGCCTCATCTGTGGACAGAGGGTGGAAAGGGATGTGCTTCAGGACTTTATATGGGTTTGTTTAAAAAGGGTTCTGAGCAAATTGGACCAAAGTAGGCAGCAAAGGGGACCTTCAGAAGAACCCTCTATGTGTGTGCTGTGTGTGCAGTCAGGATAGGTCCTGAATGCCTGGGGCACAGGGCCAGGCTCCAGAGGTTCCAATGTCCCTCACCCCAAAGTAAGGCTGGGTGTTTGGGCAGTTGCTAGCACCCAAGGAAATAAAGCTCCCCAGGTTCAGTCTGCCTCCCTCCCAATCCTAATGTGTGCCGGCCCCTCTGTGGCTCAGGAAACAGAGCAAAGCCCCTTCTGAAGGCCTGGCAGCTGGGCAGTTGTAAGGGCAGAGTTCACAGTGGCAGGGGTCCCTGGCCTGGAAGGTACTGGGGAAGAGCCAGGCCACCATGCATTGACTGCCCACTCTGCCATCAGCTAAATGTGTGATCTTGGACAAGCCACTGCAACTACCTATACCTCAGTTTCCTCATCTGTAAATCGTGGGTGATACTAGCACCCACCTTCCTGGTGTGTAAGGAATGATCCAATGTGGATTGGCAGCATTCATTGCTTGATAAACAAGGGCTTCCCTTCCCTTGGTCTCTACTTTCTACTGAATGGTCCTCAGAGCAGGTGGCAAGCTGGCTTTGACCCCTTGCTTTGCTGTGGTGGCCCAAGCCATCCCGAGTACCTATGTACCAGAAGCCCCCTTGCTACTGCAGGTCAGAAGCTGCAAGTAGTGTGGTGAGGAAGACAGCTCCACGGGAGCGCTCCTACGTCCTGTCAGCGGCCAAGAAGAGCACGGGGTGAGTTACACAGCAAGAGACACAGCTCAACCAGCAACCAGCTCCATGCTCTGGAACAGTTTCTGTCCATTCAGGTCTTTGCTATTCCTCTGCCTAGTGAAGGGTGGGATGAGTGGGCCCTCTTAGCTGGACCAGATGTACTTTCTGGAAAACTGAAGGGTCTGGCTGCTGCCATCAGGACAGACAAGGTGCTAGAAATGAGAGAGAAGCCCAGGACACTCTGGGGCAGAGTGGTCATGATGTCACCTATCTACTCCAGGATTCTGCCCAACACATAACCTTTCTATCTCCTTTCCAGAAGCCCTGTTCAAGAGTTGCAGGCCCCATTCATTGCAAAGAGGTAAGTGTCAGCAAGGAAAGCCTTAGAGGTCTGTTTTTGACCATGAAAAAGGCCTCCTTTTGGCAACAGTGTAGTGTGGGCACTGGGGAGAGGGCCATGGGTTACAGTGAGGCTGCTGGCCTTCAGCAGGGGTTGTTGTAACAGGCTGGTTGCTTCTGTCTGGAGGCCAGGAGAGCACCTTTATGGCTGTGGTGGCACATATGGCCCTGGCATCCAGTTCTGTGTGGCTGGACACTCCCATTTTCCAGTAGCTAATAGGGCTGGGCCTCTGACCCATAGTATTTCAAGGGTCTCTGGGGTTTTGAAGCATAAGTAGTTATGGGGGTACATAGGATTTGTTCCCCGGTCCTCCCATCCTATCAGGTATAGGCTGGACAATGCCCACATGGGAGTCATCACAGGGATGGAGTCCAGAGGCTTGTCAATGGGAATCCCTACCTGGTTGGCCAGGCCTTTGGAAGTGACCATGACATTGGAGATAGACCCTAAAGGGTGAAGAAGGTTTAATAAGGAATGATCAGGACATGCCAGCTGAGTAAGGGAGGGGTGTCACCATTAGGTGAAAAGGACATCTTCTGGGAGAGGATAATATTTGGGGAGGCCAAGGAAGAAACTTCTGGAAAGCTGAATTTTAGGAATATTCCACTGAGTAGACACAGAAGACCTTCATAATGAGATGAGGACTAAAAAAACAAGGAGAAGCCAGCACACCAAGTGTCCCAGGTAGAGGCCCAGAGATGGGAACAGTTTGCTGTGTTGGAAGACCAGAAAGGCTGATGGGAATGCAGCCAGCCAAGGGTGGTGTGCTCTTGATGGCTGTATTAGGTTCCTGGGACTGCTGTAACAAAGTACCACAAGCTGTGTGGCATAAACACCAGAAATGTATTATCTCCCAGTTCTGGAGGCTAAAAGCTCAAGATGAAGTTGTTAGCAGGGTTTGTTCCTTCTGGAGGCTCTGAGGGAGAGAAACTGTCCCAGGCCTCTTTGCTTCTGGAGCTATAGACAACCCTTGGTGCATCCTTGGCTTGTGGATGCATCACTCCAGTCTCTGTCTCCAGCTTCACTTGACTTTTGTGTATCTGTATGCAAATTCACCTCTTCTAATAAGGACACCAACCATTGGATTTAGGGACCACTCTACTCCAGCACGACCTAATCTAACCATGATTATATCTGCAAAGACCCTATTTCCAAATGATGTCACATTCACAGATTCCAAGCAGACGAATTTTGGAGGGACACTATTCCACATAGTATGCTGTTCTTATCCCAAGGTGGAGTCACTGAGCCCCCAGCCTGAGCCACCTTATGGCCATTGACTCCACTGAAAGAAAGCATGTCCTTCAGGTGCAGCTGAGCAGGTGGTGCATCTGTTTCTCTTCTTGCCCAAAGGGTGGAGGTGGTGGAGGAGGACGGGCCTTCTGAGAAGAGGCAGGACCCACCTGCTCTGACAAGATCTCCTCCTGGCTCCAGCAGGTAATCAATCAGTCACCCATCTCTGCCTGGGGCTGGTCGCTGCCAGGCCTGCCTGCCACTCAGTCACTGTGGAACCTCTGCCAGGTCACCTCCTTGCAGAGCCTCAGAGTCAGTGTCCCCACGTGCCCAGTGACAGGATAGGGCACGGAAATCAGTGAGGGCCTATCTGGCTGGATATCCTAAGGCTATCCGGCAAAACAGCCTGGCCTCCAGGAAGAGAGCACTGAACTCTTGTCTGTTTAGTAGTTATCTGTGTCACGGGGTTGGAGCGGGTCCGCCACCGGGGCGCCAACCCTGCCATTCTCAGGTTTGTTCACGGCTCTCCTAAAAGTTAGCCAAGTCCAACCTGCCAACCCTGTCCTCCTGCTCCTGCTGGGGAAGGAGGCTCCACAGTCCCCAGCACCGCTCACAGATGCCTTTTTTTGCCAGTGCGGATGGAGGCCGAGCCAAAGTGTCTCGGGCAATTTGGATTGAGCGCATGCCAAGTCTGCCGAGCCCTGCCGGGAGCCTGGAGCCCAGGTGGGTGTTGTGAGCTGGCTCTGGCCTGTAAGCTGGTCAGATGGGAGGATCTGGCAGTGGGGTGACAAGGCAGGAGCAGGCTGAGCATTGGTGATCTCACTCTAGGCAGGGCCCTGATTTGCCCTGATTTCTGAGCCCTGAGTGTCCAAGCAGATAATGGTTCTCTCTTGTCTGCGGACGAAGAACATTCAATACCTCCTTGTACTTTGTGCTAAATCCTGCAAAGTCCTGTCGAGAGCACCCTGTTATTGCTGCTGTTTAAAGCATCTGCCTGGATTGGCAGCTCTGCCCAAATCCAGGTCTTCTAAAAGCTGTGCCTCTGTGGCACCCCTGGAAGACCCTGAGGCCAAAGAGGCAGAGCACCTATCCCTACAGGTCACTTTTGGGGACTCCAGGGACTGTTCCAGCTCTCATAATGCCACTGCAAGCCCCACTCCCATCCCCACCTCAAGCCCCTCAACCATTTGGATGTGTCTACAGTCCTCAGGGTCATCTCCTCAGTGCCAGGAGAAAGACCGATCACCTGCCACAGCACTGGTGGTGGAGAGCAATGCTGCAGACCTTTTCTGCTGGGCTGGGTCTGGGAGGGGAGGGGAGGAGGTGGCAGCAGGGGCCTCTCTGCTAGAAAACCTCTTCTCTTCATTCAGTCCCTCTTTTGATCTTCCCTGTTTGTCTGAACTTTTTGTCCATAAGAACTTTTGAACAAGTGGAAATATTTGAGAATTCTTCAGAAAGTAGCAATCAATAATAGAACTTAGTGACTGATAGGATATGGGAGCTGTCTTAGGTTGCTAGAGCTGCTGTAACCAAGTCCCACAAACTGGGTGAATCAAACAACTATATTGTCTCCCAATTCCGGAGGTGGGGAGTCTGAGATCCAGGTGTTGGCAGGGTTGGCTCCTTCTGAGAGCTTTCTCCTTAGCATTTATTTATTTATTTATTTATATTTTTGTTATTTCTCACCCAAGGATATTTTCCATTGATTTTGAGAGAGAGAGAGAGAGAGAGAGAGAGAGAGAGAGAGAGAGAGAGAATTGTTGACGTGAGAGAAACACATCCATTGGTTGCCTCCCGTATGCACCCTGACCAGGGCCTGGGATCAAGCCTGCAACTGAAGTATGCGCCTTTGACCAGAATTGAACCTGGGACCCTTCAGTCTGTGGACTGGCCGACACTCTATCCACTGAGCCAAACCGGCTAGGGCTGTCCTTGGCTTTTAGATGGCTGTCTTCTCACTGTGTCCTTACATAGTCATCCCTCTGTGCATGTCTGTGTTCTGATCTCCTCTTATTATAAGGACACCAGTCAGGTTGGATTACAGCCCACCTCAATGACCTTATTTTACCTTAATCACCTCTTAAAAAATCCTATCTCCAAATACAGGCACATTCTGAGGTCTTGGGGGTTAGGACTTCAACATACAAATTTAAAAGGGGACACAATTCAGCCCAAAACAGTGCATAGCTCTGATTTTCCTTATTTCTCTCTCTCTCTCTCTCTCTCTCTCTCTCTCTCTCTCTCTCTTTTAAAGCAATGAATGGTTTTATATGCTTTTAAAAACAGAATATAGGAGGAGAATTTGGTTGTACTATATTATACATTTGAAAGATAGTTTGACATTTTCCTTTAGATGTCTAATATCCATTACTTGGTTGTCATAGCAAGGTAGCTGTCTCAGTCTGCTGGGGCTGCCATAACAAAGTACCCCAGCTGGTGGCTCAAACAACAGACGTGTATTGTCTCCCAGTTCTGGAAGTGGGCCATCTCAGATAAAACCTGCCTGTAAAGCCCCAGGAGACAGATTATGGAATGTTCCAGACACCAGAGGTATCTCAAGACAAGTCAGCCTCCTCCTGGAAGGATGGCTGGTCAGGCAGGCGTGATGGTTCTCACGGTGCTACTTTCCTCAGATTCTGCAATCACCAAATATCTAGTCCCCACCAGGCAGGGTCCAGGTGAGCTGCTGGCCAGTCCTGGGCAGCTTTCCTCTCTGACCTGACCCAGTCAGGCCCTGAACTGGCCCAGGCAGCCATCATCAGTCCCCCAAGCCTAGTTCCTATCTGCCTGGCTATTCCCTTCAAGAATCCCAGCCCTGTTTGGCCGGTGTGGCTCAGTGGTTGAGCATCGACCCATGAACCAAGAGGTCACTGATTCAATTCCCAGTCAGGGCTTGTGCCGGGTTGCAGGCTCAGTCCCCAGTAGGGGATGTGCAAAAGGCAGCCAATCAATGATTCTCTCTCATCATTGATCTCTGCCCCTCTCCCTCTCCCTCTCCCTCTCTCTGAAATCAACAAGAAACATTTTAAAAAAGAATTAAAAAGAAAAGAATCCAAGTCCCATGGGAAACAGTGACTCACCATACCCTGGGTCTTGCAGCACCTCAGAAGAAGCTGGTGTATGGCAGAGTGGGACAGAAGAATATCACAGCCTTGTTCCCAGACATGGTCCTATTGAGGCCACACCCTTCACGAGCTTAACCCTGTTCTGTCCCCTTTGGCTCAAGTCTGAAAGTCAGCTCCTCATCTCATGCATCAGGCTAACCAGGAGGAACACCCCTGTCTTAGGTGTCAAACCCTTTACTGACTTCAAGGAAGGCTGAAAGTTTGGGAGGGGAACTGCCATACAAGGATGCCCACAGACTGTGTCCTCAGGGCTCTCTAGCTGTCTCTTTCCTTCCATTGGAATTCCAATCTTGCTCCAGACCCCAAACCTGCCTGGATGTTCCAAAGGCCCCTCAGCTCCAGTGTCCACATCCACCTCCCCAACACACACATTGCTCACACATTGAAGGTGCCCTCCCTCCATGCACCCTGGGCCTACTTTCTTGGGTTAATCTAGTTTTTCTTGCTGAAGGATAATTGCTGCCCACCTTATGAACTGAGCTCATTTGGATACCTTCTCCCAGAGACACTGACTGGCCTGAGGGCTGCCAGGCCTGGCTGCTTCCCTGTCACAGCACACTGTTCAAGCCTCCTTGGCGCTTTGCCTCACCCAACCAGGGCAGGGCCTGCAGTCTGTGCCCCAGCATGCTGCCTGGTAGAGTACCTGGGAAGCAGTGAGTAAGAGCACAGCCTCTAGCACAAGGCACAACCCTGGCATTGCCCCTTACTAGCTGTGTGACCTTGAGGAAGTGACTTTACCTCTCTGTGCCTCAGTTTCTTCATGTGTAAAATAAGGAGCTGTGAAAGCTACCCCCCAAGGTTGTCCCAAATACTAAACAGGATAAAGCTTGTAAAGTCCTTTGTGTAGTGCCTGGGTGCTGGTATTCTCAGATGCTGCCCACTAGAGACTTGCTAATTTGCAAGGCCCTTCTTCAAATAACGAAAGGTGCTAATATCTCCACCTACTGGCTGCTGAGGAAAATGCGCTGTGGGCTCTGGAGAAGGAGGTACAGGTATCCTTGGGGTTTTCCAAAGTTCGCCTTCTTCCACTTTGCCTTGCAAAAGAGCCAAAAGACCTACCTTGGTATCTGTTTTGCTAACCAAAAGAAATATGAAGAGGATTTTGCTTTTAGAGGGAAAAAAGGCAAAAAGCAAAATTAGCATTCAGCTCATTGCCTCTTCTTTTTATACCATTTCGGCTTCTGAAAGGTTTTACAGGAACACTCTACTTTCAGATAGCTGGTGAAACCTGTACTCCCTCCCCTGCCTCTCTCCCTTTTTTAGCTGATGAGTTGCGCACTCTTTGGCACAGGCCACTGTCAGCCTTGTTCCCACGGGCAGCTGGGGCTCTACTGGATAAGTGTTCCTGGCCTTCAGCAGCTCTTAGCCAGACTGAGAACTTCAGCTTGGACTAGAGCCATCTGTGGTTGAGGGTCTGGGGAGGTGGTGGGGCTTGTCTGGGGCTGCAGGCGAGGAGAGGTTGGAAAGTTCTTGTATGAATTTGCTCTGGCTGCCCTGACAAGGTGTTAGAAAGTGAGTGGATTGAACAACAGATGTATCCTCACAGTTCGGGAGACTAGAAATCCTAATACAAGGTGTGGACAGGCCTGTATGCTCCCTCCAGAAGCTCTGGGGGAGATTTGTTCTAGAATATTTTCTTAGGGTGTTGTCAGTAATCCTTGGTGCTTCCTAGCATGCAGGTGCATAACACCAATATCTGCCTCTGCCTTTACATGGCTATCTTTCCTTTGTGTTCCTGTGTCTAAATGTCCCCTTTTTATAAAGACACCAGTCATATTGAGTTAGGACCCACCATAGTGGAGCATCACTTTATCTTAACTACTTACATCTGCAATGACCCATTTCCAAATTGGGTCACAGATACCAAGGGTTAGGACTTCAACGCATCTCTTGGGGGCACACAATGCAACCCATAACAGCCTCTCTAGAAGGGCTCCCATTCGTCCTAGGTCTTTAAGAAGCAATTGCTCAGGGGGATGACGAAGGAGAAAGAAGGTGTTGAGGGAGAGATGCCAGCTTGGGCAGGCTGAGGCAACACTTTCTTCCTATTCTCTCTCTGGCATAACAAGAAACACCAGTGAGAAAATATTTTTGACTTGCCTGTGACATCCCTAAGTGGAGCATGTCCCTGCTCTCTGGTACCACGTGCCTTAGATGGGGCAAAGTAGGGCAGCGGTCAGGGGCTTTATGCTGTCATCATCATTGCCATGGGAGGAGACAGACAGAGATCAGAGCTGTCTTCTCCTGGGCCCCTCCTGGTTTTCATGAGGGTAGAGGCCCTGTCCTTGGTGGCCCTGCCATTTCACTCTGGTTATCTCCATTGTCCCCAGGAAGGACACAGATGAACAACCCACTGACCCTGAGCTGGCCCTCCATGGACTCTCAGTCTAGGTTGGAACCAGATGCCAGGGTCAACACCCAGGGTCACCCACTTCCCTGCCTTCACCTGACTCCTCCGATCCCTCCTCTTCCTGGGGACCCTGGAGTGGCCTTTCTAAAGTGGCAATCTGATCATATCAAGCCCCTCACTCCCCTCATTTCCTTTGTTGCACCATATATGACCTCAGAATTTAAGATATTTGCCAGCTTCCACCTCCCTCTTCCCCATCTCCCTCCTACTGGGCTGGGGGCTTCACCAGGGCAGGCATGAGGCTCACCCCCATCTGTACCCCAGTGCCCAGGGGCAACCTAAGGAAGGAATGGACCTGAACAGGTGTGATTTGGGGTGAAGGGTACCTCACAAATCCAGAGAATTCTAGGTTATCTCCAGCCCTGGCCATCACTATGGTACGAGGCTGCTGGGTGTCAGGCCCCCCCCAAAATACATTGGACTTGAAGTGATGTGTGCCGTCACCTGGGGACCTGGCTGTGAGCACAGAAACCCTCAAGGGGGACCAGTGAGCACTGAAAATGTCTGATCCTCTGCGGATTCACAGGTCTGGTCACTTTCTTTCGTTTCTCAGTCTCCACTATCCCTCTTCCACTAGCTCTCACTTTAAATTTGGTTTGTAGGCTTCCTAGGCATCTTATTAATCTCAGTTCACATTAGCTCATGAACTCAGAATTCCTACTGGCCTCAGAAATAGCCTCTTTGGACACTCTGGTCAGGCCACAGGCAGGGTTCATTGTAGCAGCTACAGATGGGGTGTTGGGGCTGGATGCTTCTATTTCCACCCAAATGGCCCCTCTCTGTGCCTGAAGGGGGCTGAACTTGAAGGTGGAAGACTGGTAAAGGGGTCCTTCACTTCCCTTCCCTCTGGGGCCTGGATATCAGTGGACCAAGCTCAGCTGCAGCACCAAGAAGATTCAAGGCAAAACAGGAACCAGGGGGTGGGGGGAGGCAATGGGTCTAGGTGTCCAACTGCATTAGCCAGGAGGCTGCTGAGGGAGAACGCCCTTGGGTGCCCAGAACAGATGGGTAGACTTTTCTTACCAGAAACTCTATGGCTCTCTCCTTTGGCTACAGTGCAAGAGGTGAGGAAATTGTCCGCCTGCAGATCATGACACCCGGGGCAGGACTCCACCTGGTGGCCCCAGACCTGGAAGGAATGAGGTATGGGGACCCTGCTGTTGTCTGGGCTCCTTCCACACCATTTTAGAGATGGGGCCAGAAGAACCAGCAGGCAAATGATGAGGCCTGGAATCTGGTTGGTGGGAGACATGGTCGACCTGGGTTCTCTGCCCCCATCTCATTCTTTTACTCCACAACTATTGGGGAGCAAGCACTTGGTCTGTGGGAGGCCAGGCTCCACTCTGGGGACCCAGCAGAGTCCCAGAAGACACCCTGGATGAATGTGCTGACTGTTTGCCTGGTGGGGGGAAGCAGATGTAGACATGAACCAGCTGTGGTGTCTCAGCCCTGCTGAGCCCTGAACACCAGACAGGCCAGGTGTGCTTGGTGGGGACACGGAGTCTGCGAAGTGCCATGAGGTCACTGGAGCAGTTGCACTGCCTGTGTGAGGGGAGCCATGGGAATGGGGTGGAGTTCCTGGGTCAGCCTTGACAGCCCATGATGCCACCATGTCCAGTGCTGGGGAGGACGAGGGACAGGGGCCACAACTAGCAGAAAGCACAGTAGGCCCAGCCCCTGCCCCGGGGGAGTGGGCAAATGGAGTTAACAGGCAGGCAGAATTTTGGGGTTTGGGGTCTGGGCAAGAGTAGATCTGATGAGGAAGGGGCCACTTCTCCCTGGAGGGGCAGGCCAAAGGAGAGATGACTCCCTGCCTCTCTGCAACTCACTCTCTCTCTCTCCCTCTCTCTCATTTAGCTATTTACCTCTGGCCCAATGCCAGGGCCTGGGAGGCAGCAGTGATGCATAAGGCAGGGACCCTGCCTTATAAAGCCTGGAGTCTGGGGAGGGAGGCCAGAGTGTTTGCCCAAGATAATCCCTGAAGCACTGGGAACTTTGAGCAGGGGTTTATCACCAGCATGGGTATGGGGGTGGTTAGAGAAGGCTTCCAGGAGGAAGTGACATCAAAGATGAGTCCTCATAAATCTCTAGGCCCCTTTACTCTCCTCCTTAACTCCTCCTCTACAGCTCTGCCCCAGTCAGAAACTGAGTCCTGTCCACTCTATTTTTTAAAAATATGTATTGATTTCAGAGAAGAAGGGTTAGGGAGATAAGGATAAAAACATCACTGATGAGAGAGAGTCATCCATCAGCTGCCTCCTGCATGCCCTGCACCAGGGATCAAGCCCACAACCCAGGCATATACCATGACTAGGAATGAAACCGTGACCTCCTCTTTCATAAGTGGACACTCAACCACTGAGCCATGCCGGCCGAGCCTGTACATTCTATTTTTGAGATATTCCTGTCCTTACTGCCCTCCCCTGGATGCAGGCCTCCACCATCACTCACCCAGCTATCTGCAACTGTCTTTTAGGGCCTTGTCTTCACCCCCTCCTCCACATTTCTAACTGAGCAACATTCCTAAAGGCAGAAATAGTCATGCCAGCCCACTGGAGAAAACCCTACAATGGGGTTCCCCGTTTAGGTTCTGCAGCCTGAATTTGATACCTTGCCTGACCTTCCCTTCACCCTCTTCACAAGCTCCCCTCATAGTCTCCCTCCCTGGGCCATCCACTTCAGTCTCTCAGGCTCTTCCCCTTGTGCCTCCAGCATTATTCCTCTGTGCAGGCTGTAGACTCTGGGATGCCCTTTCTCCTCTGTATTTTTCAGTCCCATCTCAGATGTTCCCCCTCTGGGGCACCTCCCTCCTTGCATTTCATTCTGAGGCAGCATCTGTGAGGGGCTTTCCCCACTGAGCTCTCACAGAGCTGTGTTCATATTTCCACCAGAGAATTTTCCAACAGTTGTCCTCTCATCGATCAGTTTGCCCCAAGAACCCTGAGCACCTGGAGGGCAGAAACTTCATTTTCTTTGGGCTCCAACACAGGGCATGGCCCAGGACAGGAATGCAGACCAGTTTGTTACTGGAATGATGGAGAATCAACCACTGTGACAATGTCTTTAATAAGGCAACTCTGGAAGCTACTTCACTGGTTTTTCGAAGGTGACCAGTCTCTGAGAAACAGGAGCAAAGTGACCCTAGAAATGCAGGAAGTAGCCAGGCTGCCTCCAAAGAATCCATAAGGCCTCTGACACCTGGTCTGGGAGTGGGCAACCTACAACAGCCCATTAAGAGTTCCTGCCCCACTTTGCAGCAGGAGAGTCAAGTTAGAAAAAGGAAAGCTAGAATTCTGCAAGCCCTGCCTTGCCCCTGCCCCAAGTAGGTGCAGTCAGTATGTCCATTTTACAGGTGAGAAAACAGATCCTGAAGGGTCACACAGTGAAGGACAGCCACCCAGGCTACCTGGCTCCCATCCTGCACCTTTTGCTCCACAACTCACTATATTAGTGAGAACCAAGGGAAAGGGTGATATAAATACTTAGTATTTTTTAGTGAGATTATTTGTAGGCATCCAAATGCATATTACTAGGAGGAATTTGAGGGTTTGTTGCTGAGGTTCAGAAGAGAAGTCAGGGCTCAAGATATTTCCATAGTACTCCGTATATGCAGACAGATGAGAGCTGACATAATGGGGCTCAATGTTGATGTCTACATGGGTTACAATATCAAAGGAATCAAGGAGAGAGGGGCTGGTAAGCTGAGCACAGAGCATAGTGTGGAGGAGGTAGCTGGCTGGTCATCCCTCCTGAAGGCAGCTGGGGGACAGTAGTCAGGTCTGGCCAGGTTCAGTGTTAGCTGCCAGAGGTCCAGTGGGGGCATGGGTCAGGAACACAGAGGAGAGGTGGAAACAAGCAAAGGGAGGCAGTTGATGCCATGGGAGCAGAGGAGGTGGCCAAGGTGTCGGAGCATGCCAATGGAGATGAACACTGGGAACACCAATGTTTAAAGGTCCAAAGAAAAAGGCAAAGGAGACTTGGAAGGTGTGGCAAAGGAGGTAGAGTGTCACAGAATCATGATGGATGGACAGGGGAGAGAAAGTGAAAATGTCCCACTGGGTCAGTTGTCCTGAATGACAGTAATAACAGGAGTATCTCTATTGGTTTTGGCACAGTGGAGCTCCCTGATGACTTCAGAGAGAAAAGAATGAGGTTGAATTAGGAGGTTAGGATCAGTCTTACACCACAGATGATTATAGTCTAGGACTCTGAAGTCAGACTGCTTGGGTTCAATTCCTGGCTCTTCCCCTTATTACCTGTGGAACTTAGGATAATTCACTCGGGCTCTCTGTGCCTCGTTCTGCTCATCTGGAAAATGGACATGGATAATAACAGTGCCTCTCTCCTGGGGTCAGTGTGGAGAGTTAATGCATACAGAGTCATGGTCTAGCCCTCAATCAAAAGTAGTTATTAGTAATGAGATTTTGAGAATGGCCAATCCTGCAATATCAGGTTTTAAGCTCCTTGGAGACAGCTGGCATTTGGAGATGAGGTAACTGCCTCCACTTGAGTGTGGGTGGCTTCTGGGTGGTTAATTTATGTTTCTTTCCTCTATAGGTCTTCCCCAGACTCCAAAGACAGGGAAGCCCTCAGCCCCAGAGAGCCCAAGAGAGATTTGGTTGGTGAGGCCTTTAAGGGACCCAATCCAGATTCTGAAAGGTAACTTAGTGGAGGGACATAGAGACCATGTGGCCGCCAGTCCAAGGTCCATGGTTGGAGCTGGGACTAGGACTGTCCTACTCACTGTGTTCACTGTTAATATCTGTGGGAAGAATGAATGAATACATGAGGCTTGGAGAGGGGAAGGCCCATCAGGAAACAAGTTGCACAGGAAGACAAACTTCAGGCCAGGCCACCCCCACTCCACAGTTGGCCCAACCTCACTGTGCTTTTACTCCACTGAAAGCATCCCTGCCAATGGCCAGGACAAGCAAGGCCGCCAGGCTGTCATTCTGGGATATTCAGTGACCTGTGCACAAAGGAGGCAATGATGGGAGGTGGAGGCATGGTGAGGAATGATTAGTCCAGAAGGGATGAGTACAGAAGGGATAGTCCTACTACCATCCCACTGACCAGGGGAAGCCAGTTGTGGTGATCAGTAGCTGAGAGTTGGGCATATACTCAGCAGGTAGCTGGTGGCCAGTAGTGGATAAGAGCCCACCATCTTCTCAGTATGGAGGCCCATACCCTCAGCTGGGACTCAGCCATGGGAATGAGGGAAGGGGACCCAGGATGGGTGAGGGAAATTTGTCTCTGCCTTGGAATCTATGGTTTAATTATAAGTGGCTCCAAATTTCTATGCTTTGTTCTGTTAACCATTGCCCACCCCCTCCCTACATGCATTGTGCCACCCTCCTCCTAAGTTTGGCTCCACTCCTCCTCCCAGCCCAAAAGGTTTGGAAGAAAGGCAGGAATACTTGCTGATATTGATTTGTTTCAAGTTGGAGCTGTGCAGGATGGCAGCCCAGGACCCAAGCTTCTGGTCCTTGAGACCCAGAATATTACTCTCAGGACATCTGAATTAGATTAGATCAAAACCCAATCAGAGTCATCAAATGCTTCTCTTTCCACAACAGGTCAAGTGCACACTCAAGGGATGGCAACGTGGGATCCAGAGCCACAGGCTCCCCACCTGAAGGCTTGGCTGGAGCAGACATCAGCTCTGGGAGAGGAGGGTGAGCTACCCAGGGGAGGCAGGTGGCCCAGAGTTGTTGATTCTCTCATGTCCCTTATGACAGGCCAGGGTCAAGCAGCTAAAACTTCTTGAGCTGCTGGGGGTGGAGCACTGGTCATTTTCCTACTGCGTCTCCTATCTCCAATACTTCAGCCCCCACCACATCCTTTGTCCCTGGGATTTCCACTTCTGGGAATACCTATGCTTGAATATTACTCCTCCTCATCCCCTCTGCCACTGGCTCTCAAGCTCCTCCAAAGCAGGCACAAGGGCCCACTTACAACTGGAGGTCCAGCCATGCCTGGGTGGGCACTGGCTGGGTAGAATGAATGTGAAGAGAATTAGTGAAGGGACAAACTGATGAACGACCAAATGATGGATAAATCGATACCTTCTTGCTTATTGGCTAAGCTCTAAGAACAAACTAGAAGCTGCTTTCTCCCTTCCCTACCAAAAGACCCAAAGCCTCCTTTTCCTGCCCTACTCTCATCCCCTGGCCAGCTCTGCACTGAGCTTCAATGAGAGGAAAAGCAGCTTCCTCAGTGAGACTAGCTAGGAGACAAGCATGTCCAACTGGGCCCTAAGTTGTTGGATCTGGGGAGGGTCAGGGACCACTTTCTCAGGTGATTTGGGGAGTAACAAGGTCCCATCTGTTCCCAGGTAGTTCCAAATCAAGCATAAGTCACCCTAGTTGACAAAGGTTAGCACCAATCGTTTAGCTCCAAGCTGTGCTAGAACCTTTATGGTTCAGGACAGATGGCCAGAGAGGATTGGCAAAGCCAGTATCTACAGAGAGCCTGACTGCATGCTGCTCACCAGCACCCTGCCATAGGGCAGTCAGGCCTTGGAAGGCATCCCAAGGGGGAGCATCTGCCTAATGTTTTCCCCACTTCTTTCTCAGCTGCCCCTGCTTCCCTAAGCCCACTGGGGGCCCCCTGCCTTCACTAACTTGAATAGTTTGCAACTAATGTTTGGACCCAGAGTCCTGGCTTCCAAATCCAGGAGCCCAAGCCAACATGGGGAGGGGACAGCAGCTCCAGCCTCTGACCACTGTGCCTCAGCAGGTACCAGGAAAGACTGCTAGGCTGGGACCTCAGTTCTCTGAGCTACCTCTTGTGGGGACTGTGCAAGAGCCAACACCTGCAGCCTGCATCATTGTGTGCTGGCTAGCAAGTCATTCAGATTGACTCAATTGGCTGGTGGCTATCATGGATGATTTCCAGGCCAGCGTGATTGGGTCTGGTTCTTGGTTGCTTCATTTTTGAATGTTCATCCCTATCATCCTTCTTGTTTCCACACACTCACAAACTCAACATTTTGCTTTCTGCTTTCAGTTTCTTTAAAATGAAGCCAAACCTCAAATTACCTTTCAAAATAAGCTGGAGAATCTTCTAGATTTCTATTATTTTTAACCCAGTCTTTTACATTGTCTTACCTATATTGATTTTTAAGAAACTTACTTTTACTGTCTTTCTAAAGAAAAGATTGTTTCTCATTAGTTTACTTACTAATTTAGTGATTATGGTTGCAAGTACAACTGGCATGAACAGGTTTAGGAACAAATACCAGGAACTCTAAGCAAGTAAGTGTGCTACATAAATGAAGGGTGCAAGATTGTACAGGTGATAAGATGCCCTGTGAGCTGTGACTGCTTGGTGTACCGTGAGAGTCACTTTGCCTGAAAGACAGAGAATGTGACCAACCTGTGGGAAGGCCGGATTAAAGAGCACCCACTCAATCTGTATCAAGTTTATGGATACAGATGGAATATAAATGGCCACAGAGCCCCATATTAATAACAGGATCACTTTAGCACACCCTAGGGCCCAGGCATTATTCTAAGTACCTGGTATCTATTAACTCATTTTCTCTTCTCAGAAAATTTGTGAGGCAGACACAATTATTATCCCCATTTCATTGATGGTAAGACTAAGGCCCAAAGAAGTCAGATGATATATCCAAGGTCATACAGCTGGGAGGTAACAAAGCTGTGATTTGAATTTGGGCAAGATGCCTCCAGGGATACTTAACCATTAGGCTTCACTGTCCTGGTGGCAGGCAGCTGTGAGATATGAGTATTGTTCCCTGAACATCCATTTGAGCAACTGCTCAGTTCTCATCATCTGTCAGGGTCAGAAGCCACCCTCTCAGGAGAGAGTAGACATACAGACACAAAATCTTGAACCCAAACTGAGCTTGACCTCCTTTCACAGGGTATGCTCAGCTGCTGGCTTCATGCCTCTCCTGGATGATGATGATGTGCATGGTGCCAACTCTCATGGTCGCAAACCTGGACTAGTGGTCACCAGGTAAGGGGGGGTGACTATCTGGTGACCATTCCTATTGCCAGACACAGCCTTCAGGGTTCAGCCTCAACTCCAGTGCCCCAGAATACCCTTCACACTTCTTAGCTCCATGCTACCTTCCTATCAGGTGATCACCACAGGAGATGGAAGGTAGGGCGGGTCCCTGACATGCAGCTCAACACAGGCATCAGGGACAGTGGGGGCGGGAGGACAAATGATAAGTCAGGATACCCAAACAGCCCAGCACCTACTCATAAGGACTCAAGGTGAGGTAGCAGAAGGGGTGCATCAGGAGGCGAAACTTGGGAAGAGACCCTGATAGGACGTCTCAGTGAACCTCTCCTGTAGGTACTGCAGCCTGGACCAGCAAGGAGGACCAGAGGGAGGAATCCCAGGGAGCATGTGGAGTGAGGCAGCTGGGGAGGGTGCATAGCCCCAGGGGCATGAAAGTACAATGGGAAGAGGCTGTGTCTTGCCAGGCTGTAGGCTTCTACACTGTTTCATCTACCAATCTTCCTTTTGCTGTGGGTGTGTGGAGCACTTAGGAAGGGACAATCTTTCTGGACTCCCAAGAGGTGTAGGTAAGACAAGGACACGGGAATCCAAAATCAGGAGACTTCCTCAGGGACCCCCACACTGGTCAGGGGTAGTGCTTTGTCTTGAACTCAGGTGCTAAGGCCACACCCAGGGCTCACAGTGGCATCTGTGCCACACTAATGGCAGGACTAAGAGGCCACCCTTGACTGATAAATATAGGCATCACCTTTCCTGTGAGAAGGCAGCTGGGAAGGGAAAGGCCTAAGCCCCCAGTCTCCTTTGGTCTGAGGCCTCAGTGGGCCTGTGTGCTTTCTCCCTCAGCTCCGATGCTACTTTGGCTTCTGCTGTACCAGCTAACAGGAAGAGCGACAGCCCAGCAGACCTGGAGGACATGAAGGCAAAATTTAAGGGGTAAGGCACCAGCCAACAGAGCTGAGCTTTTGTGGTGGAGAAAGATAGCTTAGGTTTGCATTAGCCTTTGGATGGAAAATGAGGCTAGTGAGGTCTATGAGCTGGCCCAAGGCACATAGCAAAGGCTGAAGCCCCAGCTGAAACCCTCTGGCCTCTCCCTCTGGGTCTATGGAGCCTTCTGCTACACTGAGTTGCCTTTAGCCAGGAAGTCCTCCATAATCAGAAAGTCACCCACTCTTTCAGTCAGCAACCACTTGGACAACAACTGCCCTGCGCTGGAGGCTGAAGCACACAGACAAATCAGACATGGCTTATGAAGGGCAAAGCCTAATCCAGACAGGAATATCTCATGCTGGAGCAGGGGAAGGGGAGCAGGCATGGTGGTTTCATGGGGAAAGTGGCCTCTGAGCTGAATCTTGAAAGATGAATAGGAGTCCTCTGAGCCAAGGGAACAGTGTATACAAAGGACTCCAATCAACCTGGTGTTTCCTGGACACTGTTTGTAGCTGAGTGTGACTGGCGCTGAGAGGTCTTGAAGGGGTAATGGTGAAACAGGAGATTTTTTGAGGTAGGCCTGGGATGATTTGCTTTCAACACCAGATATTGTTAAAGATTGCATCAGTTACTTAACTTTTGGGCACCCACTTGGTACACAGCCCACTGCTCACAGTGTCACATACAGCCCTCCCCACAATCCTGTGAGATTTCCCCCTAATTATAATGAAGAACAAAGGCTTAGAACCCAGGTCTCTGTGCCTCCTTGGAAGAACAGTGCTCTCAAAGAATTAGCCAGGGTGCTGAGATAGAGTGATGGCAATGAGGAGGGCTACTGCTTAGATGGGTAGAGAGATGGAGGTAACTCAGGGGAGCTCCTCTCAGGAGGAGAAGGAACTAACTCTAGGAAGAGAAAGGAGAAAAAAGCTGCACATAGAAAACTACAAACCTAAAAACCCTGTAGTGGGAACGTGCTCAGCATGTTCCAAAGCATAGAGTGGCTGGAGCCTGGCCAGTGAGGGGGTCCATAGATGGCGCAGGGCCTTGGTAAGCCATGATAAAGAGGTTGGATCTTATTTCAAGATTAAGCCAAAGAGGAACGTGGTCTAATTTAGGTGTTTAAAAAGGTGGATGCATTTTTTGTACTTTCATGCCACATTGCAGTTACTTCTTTACTTTTGTGACCTCCAGTGAAACTGGGATGCTGGAGGGTGGGGTAGGCAAGGGATCTCTAAGGTATGAGGCCTTACTATGTGACTTTTTCTGTTGCAAATTTCACTGACAATTAATAGGGTGAAAACAATAACTGACACCTATAGTGAATGTGCTTTGTTAGTTGCTTTACAAACCTCCCAGCAACTCTGTGAAATGATAAGATGGGGAAACAGAAGCATAGAAAGGTTGTGATTTGTCCAAGGGCTTGCAAGTGGCAGAGCTGAGTCCCAATGCAAGAGGCTCTAAGAAAATCCTCAGGGGGTGGGGGAAACTTTAAAAATCTAGTTTTTAAAATATTTCCTTTGGAGTCTATTCTCAAGACCAAGAACCAGTAACTCTTAGCTGGTTAACGTGTAAACCATTCTGCATACATGATCTCACCTACTATTTCCAAAACATGGGTAAGAATCTGGCTTTTGATGTAGTTTAACAGTGGAAGAAACAGAGAACTCCTGTGAGGAGCATAGCTAGGAACAGAGCTCAGATATGACTAACTCTAAAGACCAGTCTGAGAAGTACTTTCTTCTGATGTGTAAAATTTTGCAAAATCAATACAAACTTTCTTGAATACAGTGTTTCACAATTCTGACTGCACTTGAAAATCACTCAGGCAGTGTTTTATATTTATTTATCCTCACCTGAGGATATTTTTCCATTGATTTTTAGAGAGAGAGGAAGAGAAAGAGAAAGATAGAGAGAAATATCAATGTGAGACAAACACATGGATTGGTTGCCTCCTGCATGAGCCCTGACCAGGGCCCAGGCCGGGAAGGAGCCTGCAACTGAGGTACATGCCCTTGACCAGAATCAAACCCGGAACCCTTAAGTCTGCAGGCTGACACTCTATCCACTAGGGCTCGCTCAGGAAGTGTTTTTAAAAATAAAAAAATAAAGCTTCCTGAGCTCTACACAGAGATTAGATTTTAATTGTTCTGGGGTGGGACTCCATCATCAATCTTTTTTAAAGCTTCCAGTTTTTTCTCATGTCCAGTCTAGGTGAGAACCATTGTTGTAGGGCAATGGTTGTGAACCAGGGGCATCTCCCCATACCTCCCTACCCCCTAGGAGTCGCTTGGCAGTGTCTGCAGATTCTGTCGATTCTCACAGCTGGCAAGAGGGTGATACTGGCAAATAGTGGGTGGAGACCAGGGATGCTGTCCAAAGTCCTACAATGCACAGGGCAGCCCACACACAGTTATCCAATACAAAAAGTCAATAGTGGTGAAGCTGACAACGGTTTTAGAGTTTTCACGATCTCTATGTGGTGCCAGGAGATTCTGTATTGGGAAGAAAAAAGGGTGGACACAGAGAGAAGCTAATAGTCTTCCAAGGGTCTAAGCAGGGAGTGCAGAAGATGTGAGTATGGGTATGCTTTTGCAGTTTGCATGAGGCATGCATGA